TGTGTGTGTGTGTGTGTGTGTGTGTGTGTGTGTGTGTGTGTGTGTGTGTGTTTGAGCCAGAAGAAAACCATTCTCAGTTTTGCTGTTTTTCTCTCAGCAGCATCTTTTCTACAACATTGTTTTTTTTTCACGACCTCAGCCCCCAATAAACACAAACACATGCAGAGTAAAGAAACTCAGGGACACTCAGGGACACTCAGGGACATTCAGGGACACTCAGGGACATTCAGGGACACTCAGGGACATTCAGGGGCATTCAGGGACACTCAGGGACACTCAAAGACGAACAGACTTTTGAGGACACGTATATTCACAGATTTTCTGACACTTTTGTCCCAAACTGGTGTAACCTCCAGCTAAAAACAGGAACTGGTGTATTTCTTGGTGGGCTCAGGGTTTGTCTGGGGACCAGAGTGCAGCAGGGTGCATGATGGGAAAACGCCAAGCTTCACAGGCGCTGTGGAGCTGAAGTGGTCCGGGGGGGACGGCTCGGGTCCTGAATGTTACTSAGGTCTAAAATCAAAAAGCTGAACATCGTTTTAAAGCCTGGGTTTGATTTTCTGAGGGCGGCGACCCTTTCAGGAGGCTAAATGAACCCGGTCGGCCAGAAAAACCTCATCCTGAACGTTTACAGACCAGGACCGAGCTCAGGGTCCGGTCTGGATATTATGGGATGTGTTCAGGAAATAAATCTGCTGTGTTTGTGTTAGCTGGAGGTGGAAGAAAAGTTTATTTTAAATTAAACTTCTGCAGGATTTTATTTGGCTGTAAGTTGTCACAACTTTATCACAACAGCTTCATTTTATGACTTTTAGCTGCTGTTTTATCATATTTAGCTATTACTGCTGATTTGCTGATTTTAACCTTTAGCTACATTTTTGCTAATTTTATATTTACTTACATTTTAGCTACTATAACTTTTAGCTGTGGTTTAACTTTGTTCCTTTAACTACATTTTAAGTATTTAATATTTTTTCATGATTTTGCTGCGTCTAGCTTTTAGCTGTTCTGTTCTTTTCAGGTTTTAGCTATGATTTAGCGAACTTTAGCTCTTATTATTTTGCAAATTATAGCTTTTAGCCACTGCTTTGCTAATAGCTTTTTTGCTAGTGTGTTTTTGGATTTTATCTCTGGATTTGCAAGTTTTAGCCTTTAGCTACAGTTTTACTGATTTTAGTTACTTTTAGTTTTCAGCCACAGTTTGGCTACTTATTTAGCCTTTTGTAACTCTTTGCCACTGTTTTGCTGTTTATAGCTATTGTTGCTCATTTTTTATTTTCTTTAAATGGTTTCAGTGGTTGACTTCAGATGGTTTTGCTTTATTTAGATTTCAGCTTCTGTTCTGCTTGTTTCGCCTTTAATATTTCAGTTTTACAGCTCATAAAAAATATTCTGTATTTTGCTCTAGTTTTTGCAGAAAATTTGTCTTTTATTTAGTTCTTTATTGCTGAAGATTTTGACTCTTTGCTGCAGTTTTTCCAGTGAAATGAACAGAAACCTTCGGCTTGTGGAACCATTTCGGCTCAGGTGTAATTATTTCCTGGTACTAAATGTTAAAACTCAGAACAGAACCCTGCCTTCATGATTTATTGTTCGGTGGAGTATATGTGCCTCCTCCACTGATTGGCCTTCGTGTCGGTGTTATTGTGCAGCAGAAAAAAAAGTGTCTGCTGGAAGCTTTTTCTGCTCCTGTGAGCACACTCGTCTCGTCACAGCGGTTAGTTCGACTGAAGCGTGTTCAGCCAACAGCCTGCTGAATAATATTCCACACAGCCAGACGTGTCTTTTGTATTAACAATATTTCACTAATTGCATCCTCCCATAGAGCTAATTATTTTAGCATTGTGTTGTGATCCTAGATTATCTGGAGTTGCTGAAAGTCGTTRTGGAAGCAGAGAGAATTTCACAAACGGCTGCTTGTGCATTTTAATGCATGCGGGAGAATAACGGCGACGAGTAATGAGATGAATGTCATTTTCTTGTGTGTCGTACAAATAAAAGATGAGTTTTTTCCCCCTCCTGTTTTGTGTAAACCCCCCGGCTGTCACATTTTAGGAAAGAAAAAAGTTTGGATGACAGCCAACATCCAAACTGAGGAGGATTTAAAATTCATGAATGTTTCTGTTTGCTGAGAGAAAAGCAGCTGAATCATTATTTTAGCATTTTTATTTTTTTATTATCTTACAGAAATAATTCAGCTTCTCTCTTATCACCTAAAATTAGTTTATTACTCATGTAGTCACCTCTTCCAGTTTCTGTGTCTGTTAGCAAAATATCTCATGAACTGCGGCACAGATTTGAATGAAATTCTAAGACTAAAGGTTTTAAGAGCGGCACAAGTTTGGGTTTTTTGCTACCTCATCTGCAGGGGTGGAGCCAGAAGGATTGCTGGGGTGGCACCCCTGGTACCTGACTGGCCACCCCAGGWGCCACCCCAAATAATTAACAAGTGGGTGATGATGGGATTTATGTTTGCATTGGTTTAATATTYTTCTCTACTTTTGTACTGTATACATTTCAGCTGTGCATGTTAAAAATGGTTGAAATAAAGCCTTTTGTAAATTAGAATTAGCATTAGTGGTTAACCTAATTTCAGATTAGCATCATCAATCAGCATGTGATCATACTTAGCTAAACCAGAAATTTAATCTTAAGTATTGAAATGGTTGAATTATAGCCTTTTGAAGAATTTTTSATTAGCATTTAGAATTTGGTAAAATGTTGGCTAATTCTGCACCAGTCTTCAGTTTTGTATGCTCAGAAATAACTGACTTATAGCCCTTTGTAAAGCTAGCATTTGGGATTAGCTTCATCAATCAGCATGTGATCAGTTTTAGCTACTCTAAACGTTTCAATAAGTCTTAAAAAGGTTGAATTTCAGCCTTTTATAGTTYGCCGTCGTGGCTATCTTGAATTTTTGTTTAGCACTTAGAATTTGGTAAAAATGTCGGCTACTTTCACACTAATCTTCAGCCGTGTGTCTTTAAAAACAGCTGAATAATAAGTTAGGACTATGATAGAGTTTTATAGAATTTATTAAACTTCTTGAGGTGTTTCAAATAAAGTTTTGAGGTACGTGACAAATGTGTTGTTCATCATGGCGTGTCCACAGGAACACAGAGTGCGAACAGACAGAAACTGCTTTGGAGCAGAGCTGGTAAGACAATGATTAGACCAACTYCCGAAATACTAAACATTCCTGTAAGTTTCCATTAAAGGCGTGCAAAACAAGTCTGTGTTGTTTTATTATTCAAATACCAAACCCCAGCAGCAACAGTGTTTTTGATTGGTTTTTATGCATATGACGAGCTTTGGTAACTGATCTCTGATTTGTTGTATCATTGTGTGACTTCATTCCTACGTGTGTGAATAAAAGACAGATCACATCCGCAAAGTTCAGAACTTCTCTGAACTTCACTAAGCTTTCGAGCGAAGTTAAGTATCACTGAACTTCTCCTTTGCAAAGTGAATCTATAAATCTTACTGGTCTCTGTTGTCATTGTTTAAATGTTCGGCGGGGTTGTTGTGTTTCTCTGAGTTCTTAGGTTAAAATACCAAACAGACTAGCGTTCAGCATTAGCCATAATGTGGAACTAGCTGAAGCGGCCATCTTGAATTTTCAAACCCAGAGTGCTTTTCTTTATTTGAATCTGGCCCCCTAAAACCCTGGACACCTCTTGCAAAAGTAATCTAGCTCCGCCCCTGCTCACTTGTTTTGGAACCTCTTGGAATAATGAAGTACATTTATAAGCATTCCATATTTCTAAAAAATAAAGCTTTTAGTGACAAGTTCATGGAATTTAAGCAAAGGCTTAATGTTTCCAGAGCTGACTCTTCTTCCTTAAAAGGAAACATCTAAACATAAAAACATTAAAGATGATCGCGTTTGACATAAAAAAGGGATTTTAGCATTTTGATTATGTTTTCTGCTGCAAGTCTCAAGTCTGTAATTTGGTCTTTGTGCAGGGGTTGAACCAAAGAGTGGTCCAGGTGGGCGTGGACGGCGTGCGGCGGACAGACTGGCACGACTATGATGCGATAAGAAGAGATGCTGCTCGTGTGGGTGCGTCCAAACTCTGCTTCTTCTTCTTCTGCTGCAGTGTTGTTGCACAATGCCCACACTCCGACTCAAAAACAACCAAACCTCTCCTCCTCCTTCCCTCTCAGTGGATTTCTCTCCCAGAACCCCCGCCGATCGATACAGCTAGCAGAGTTCAGAATTAAACACACCTAATTTCCAACAATAAGCATCGATTCTGCCCGCAGCGTCCAGCTGGAAACAAGTGGAAATGATTTAATTGGCTTTCGTGAAGTTTTAGCAGAAGCTTGGGTGGAAAATGACCTGGGCTTGTGAGAAAATGCCAAGAAGTCCCAGGCTGGCATGTTTACTGTGGAGGAATCAATTCTCTGGGATTTGTTTAAGAACTGTGAGTAAAGGCCTGAAGAGGGGGAAAAACCGTACGGTTGTATCGGTGGAGGAGGGACTTCTGAGTGGTTTGTGGAGGCATCTAAAAAGCAGACAAGCAGAAACACATGATGGTTGAASTGAGTGTTCTGAGGTTTGAGGTTAAAACAAACCATGCATTCCTTCACAGATTTCTAGATTTATTTTTGTTTCTTGTTACCTCCTGTCCCTTCGAGTCGTCGTTCAATAATTCAGAGTCCAGCTGTTAAACTTTTCAAACAACTTGAACCTGCTTTAATCCACAAAGACAGCCTGTTCTTCCCAGCAGCTTTACAGCAGAGGGTGTTTGCATGATTCTTTCAGAGATAAAACCTGCGAGAGTCTCAGTCCAGACCAGGAGAAAACAGCCAAACAGACCATTTATTTGTAAATGCATCACAAAGAAGTGGTTCAATAGAAGTAGCAGGTTGTCAGCTGCGTGTGGAGCAAAGAATCCTGCAGCTGGAAGAGAAAAAATAAAACTATAAATACATCTTTAATGACTGAAGAGCTCAGCTACTGAACACAGCTGCAAATATTTATGACTACACACTCGTTTAACTCCAGTGGAGGTTAAATATGGAACATAATTAATCTGAAAATGATGTAGAGATGAGCAGATTTAGTTAAAGTTTCAGTTGATTGTGTCTTTTACTTAAATCTGCTCCTAATTAAACACAAATGTTTGATGCTAATTCAATCTTTTCTTTTATTTTGGAAGGTAACGGCGAGCAGGGGAAGCCGTTCCCTCTGACAGAAAGCGACCAGGTGGACCAGGCCTACAGAGAAAACGGGTTCAACATCTACGTCAGCAACCGGATCTCTCTGAACCGCTCCCTGCCCGACATCCGCCACGAAAAGTAGGTCCTGTTCGTGTCTTTACGTGTGCGTGAGTGTTTGTGTGTGGCAACGATCTGTGCTGCCATATTAGCAGGTGCTACGTAGCATCTTTAGCTACTGTTAGCAAACCATAATTATCTGAAAAAACTACCCAACATGTTTCATTAAGTGTTCAAATAAAAAGAAATTGCTTCAAAGACGATGACATCACATTTGTTTAGGAAGAAACATCCCAAAATAACTTAACAACACAGCTTTTTCAGTTTTTGATTCTTTTCCACTGTGTGTTTGTTATGTTGTGTGTTTTTGTTGGATTATTATAAGGATTTTGTGATTCTTGTGTTTTTCGTGAGACGGTTTATGGAAGACGCATGTTAGCGTGACCACGCTCTGCCTCGTTACGATGGTGATACGTTTTATATCACATCGCTTCAGTTGCTTTTTCAAAGTACAACTTCACAAAATTCAGTTTTAATAGAAAAACATTGCAAGTAAATAACCAAAAAAGCATGAATAATTTGGTTTTAGCTCCACTATCAGTGCTTGTAACTGCATTTTATTTAATGTCTCATGTCTCGAACGAACYAACAAACAAACAAARYCCATCTTTGTGGCTTTGTTTTCCTGTTTAATTTGTAGATGGTGCAAGGAATTCTGGGATACCGTTGGCCATGCAGGATACTCAGACGGGTGCAGAAAAACTATTGACTGCAGCCGTCTGAAACGCACGGTTTCTCTGAGATCTGGATTAAAACAACAGAAAACGAGCACCACTATCATGTGAATGAACGACCAAACTGGGCGTTAACTATCAGCTGAAGTTAGCTGAAGTTTCTTCAAATAAGTTGCTAAAGATACATTCTTCAGTCCGTAAAAAAATTWAAAAAAACTTTGCCGTCTTTGTTTTCCTTTTGTAATTTGTTGACTGTGCAATGAATTCTGGGATACCATTGGTCACGTAATACTTTGACGAAGTGGATGTTTTTGGGGTTTGTTGGCTGCGTTTGTCTCCCTCGGCAGTGACGTAAGCTGAACCGAGACAAACTATTTCTGTTTCAGTGGATGAAGCTCCTGTGATTACTTCCTGGTCATTTGTTTTTCTTGTTGTTTGAGATATTTTGAAACAAATAATAGTTTCCAGTGACCAGATTGTTTTGTTGGAAGAAGTTGAGATCATTTAAACTGATAAAGCTTTCTTGTCTTCTTGATAACAGAGGATGTTTGCACAGATGTTTCTCAGGAAAGCATTCAGATGAAAACATTTCCAACCTGTTCAGACTCTGAGAACTCAGAGCCCCTCCAGCCTCAAATCCCAACTTTCATTTTGCCTCTGACAGTCGGCCCTTCCTCCTCCTTCATGTGGAAAACAGCTGAAAGTTTTGTGCCCCCCCCGGAGGACGTTTTCCTTTTCATTTGTGTTTATCAAAYCAGGCCTTCCTTGACCCAATGTCTCCTGCAGTGACCCTTCTGAAAGCAATCAATGCAGCTTCTCCAAACGTTCAGCCACAGGTAGTTTTTCTGCTGCGAGCCTCTAAACATGTGGGAGTATGACATAATCAACACCTCACTGTTCGAAGCCGTGTGGTCGGAGCACTGTTGCATAAACTCATTGGAGTTAGTCATACAAGCAGCACGGGTTTCAACGTGTTTCAGGAAGAATCTGGAGGCTGAAGCTTCAACCTGATTATTACTAAACAGAAGTTCAAACATGAAAAGTTTAAAGAAGTCTTTCCTCCAGCAGATGTCCAGATATATTAATGATCTCATAGATGAGTTTTTACTTTGAGGTTCTCATTCAAACCTCCTTAAAATCACAGCCCTGCCTCCTCCACACAGCTCCGCTATCTATCTATCTATCTATCTATCTATCTATCTATCTATCTATCTATCTATCTATCTATCTATCTATCTATCTATCTATCTATCTATCTATC